GTAGAAAATGCATTTTCTTGTAATTTAGAACTTATTTATCAAAATACCCATGGACTATTGACATTTTAGATTATTTTTAAAGATGTACCAAAATTTTAAAGAGTACAGATACTAATATTGTCGATATAATTCGTTTATTTCATTAAGAAATAAAAAAACTGTTTAAATATTTGTTAAAGAGGATCAATTAATATGATTCCAGTATTCAAACTACATTAACTGACTGTTTGCGTTGATTAATAATAATTGCTCCAAATACTAAAAAAACTGAATTTTGTATGGGCATTAGACAGTGTGATAAAAAGTAACACCTTAAAAATGATATTTCATTTTTTAATAAATGCTTATTTATAACAACAGAGACTTTAATTTGATAACTTATTATTATATTGATTTCTGATTCAAATCCACATTTATTTATAATAATTTATTAACGAACACAATTAAGTATGTAATTAATTAGTATATGGGCGGAAATAATGGTGTTATATTTAATTAATGGTATACTCTTTTATAAAGATTTAAATAGTTTTCTTTTTACATACAAATGGGCTAGTAATATTATCGTTTTGCTAAAAACGATTATATTACTAGTCTGTACATTTTGTACATTTGTTGCTTTAAAAACAATCTAAAATGTCAATATTCCATGGATATATTGATAAATAAGGTCTAAATTATAAGAAAATGCATTTTCTACCAAAACTTGAAGGGATAGGTAAAAAATGGTATAATACAATTTGATAGACAATTTAATTGTGCATCTGATTCTCCTAAAATATACAGGGCATTCCATTTAAATTAAAGAAGTTATTGCCGTTTGAAGCTAATAATGATTTAAAATAAATTTTTAGACACTCTGTATAAGGTAGTATTATTTTTATTATTGCAACACAATAACTGATCAATAAATAAACTTCATTAAATATTTAGTATTAAAAACATTGATACCCTTTGGAGAAATGAAGCTTTAAAATTTTACTGCAATTTCACAAAATTGAAAATATTTCAAAAACGGTAAGGTTTAAGTATAATAAACCTTAATCAAATTTACCTTTATTTTAATCGTAGAAACTAAAAATGTAATAATATACAGGGTGTTCCATTTAAAAAAATACAACTTTGATATTTTTTATTTATTTGGGACACTCTGTATCTTGTAAAAATATTTTTAAATTGTACCTCTAATAGTCCTTCAACGAACCTCAAACTTACAATTTGTAAAAATCTCATCGTTTAGCTACAATACTCCGTGTCGTATGTGGTGAACATCCCTGTACATCACTTTTTATTCACACTTAACGATATCTTGTATGTGTCTGATATATTCAGAGCCCTCATCTCTCCCGAAAATTCGACATATACAGGGTGAGTTTCCTAAGATGTTCTCTATGGGTATCTCGGAAACTACTGGAGATAGAGAGTCGGTTAAATCGGGAAAGAATTGCAGTTTTGTGGGGTCATAAATATGCGCCTTTCAGATTTTTGAAAAAGTTCATGGCTTACTAGATATTCCAAAAAAAAACATATTTCGGCTATTTTAAAAATGGTCCCTAATTCCATTATAATCTAATTTAGACAAAATGTTTTCAGATAAAAGTTGTATAATCATATCCTTAATGAGATTGTGTTCTCCGTCTTTTTCTAAAGCGTGTCATTTTTGACATACGACACAAACATATGTTTTTTTTTAAATAGCAACCATAGTTGGCCATGACTTCATAAAAAAATAAAAAACGCCATTTTTTAACCTTTTCAGCGATATAAGCTGTAATATGTTTTTTTTTTCGAAAAATTAGTGAGTTATAGCCAATTCTTAAAAATAGATTATAATGAAATTAGGGACCATGTTTAAAATAACCGAAATTTGTTTTTTTCGAAATATCTAATCAGCCATGAACTTTTTCAAAAATCTGAAAGGCGCATATTTATGACCCCACAAAACTGCAATTCTTTCCCGATTTAACCGACTCTCTATCTCCAGTAGTTTCCGAGATACCCATAGACAACATATAGAAAACTCACCCTGTATATAAAATAAAAAATAAGCAACAACAAATCCAGAATACCTATAGTGCAGCTCTTATAGTGAACGTTAGTCCTTGAAGAGCTTGGAGCTGAAAAAATTCAAACACTGAACAACATGAACCTGTGAGACACTCCGATAACTCAAAACTAATTCTACCAAGACACTCACTAACTCAAAACGACCCTGATGTGGTTCCCTCTAGGCTCATACAAAGACTGACACACAAAACACATACACAAGAAGAAGTGCGAGCGCCTTGCTAAATATTGGAAAGTGAAATTGACGTTTAAATTTGACACTGTTGACAAGTCTACTGCTACCAGCGCCCCCAATTTCGCTTGTAGGAACTACGGACTAAATTGTCACGCATGGCGGGAAGTTTAAAAAAAATAAAAAAATTTATTTCTTCATTTATTTTTAATTATGACATACACAAAAACACAAAAAATACACCATTTTTTAAAAATATGTTTAATATCAATATCAAATATACAACAGAAATTAATTTCACCACAATAAATTAATAAAATTAAAAGAATAATGTTACAAGTAGATCAAGAGACAAAATTAATTATAACAAAACTGAAAAAAATGGCGTCATAGATGGCTTAGAAATAAAAGATATATCATAATTTTGAAAGTAAAATTATATGGGAAATGTCTTCGATCATCATTTTTAAGCCAACTGGACGATTATTTCAAACATACAAGCTGAGTTCGTTCATAGTGCTCTGAGAAATCTAGATAAACAAAGAATAATAAATTAAAAGTATTCCAGGGGAAAAGAGAGGAAAAACCTGTATCGTCTCTGATATCTGTCAGGGTATTGTTGAAAGTGTCATCTTTTTGCTCGAAGTTTTCAGGTCGATCAAAAAGATGACATTTACAACAATACTTTGCTGTAACTTTCACAAATATCAGAGAGAGTACATACAGGTATTGCCTCTCTTTTCCTCTGGGATGCTTTATATCTGTTGTTCTTTGTTTATCTATATTTCTCAGAGCATAATGCCGAACACGACTACAGTATATAATTTCAATATCCGAAGTGGAAAGAAAAAAGATCACCTTTCTGTTTTGTACTATGGTCCCTTTCTTCCGATGGCTCATCTCGTTGATATTTAGGAAGGATAAATAGGAAGGAAAATATAAAATTCAATTTGATTTGATGATCCTTTTCTCTCACCTAAAATCAGGAGAACAATGAGCATGTTAAGATGAAAAAAAAATTATCAACACTTACCTACACGTTAGTCCGAGGAGTTTTATTAAAAACCTATATTTGTCTAAATAATTTATGTATTAAATTTGCAAAGCAAAATGCAGCGTGTAAACAAAAGAAATAAAATGGCGACAAGTCAACGTCAACGACCCGACAAGGAGAAAAGTGGTGTTCGAATAAAAAATTATGGGTGACCAAAAATTGTTTTTATCTCCTTTCAACGCACACTTTAGAAAGAAAAAGAGATGAACTGGAATACTGAAAGAACGTCAAGGTTTTATCTGTCACTCTTGTCAATAATTTATCGGAAAGGAAGATTCCTAGAAAATCGCTTGTAGTCAAGTTTTCAACCATTGCCAGTTCTCCCATAAGAAGTGTCATCCACCTGGACTGACAGTTCTAGAATATCTTGACCATAGATAATCTTGACCTAGTGCTGTAAGAAAAAATTGGTTCAACAAGAAAAGTTAACCATATACATAGAAATTATGTAGATTTCAATTTGGCTTCGACCACGGCTTCGACATGACTCTGACTTGATCTATACAGCTTTAAACGTAGTAGAACTTCAACCTGTGTGAACCTATAAGACACAAGAACCCTTCAAAAATCATCTGAAGATGCCGACTCAAACTGGAGGCTCATAGAGGCTATCAGTGTTTGTAGAGGACCAATGCCTATCTCTTGTAAGAAATTAAACGAATTTTGGAAATGACGTTGTTAAGTTTTGGACCGCAAAAATTGAACTAATGTACTTATAATAACCTGGAAAAGTCGTAAAAATTTCTACAACACCACTAAAAATTCGATTCCTTTTTCAATGTCCCCAGAATTGTAACTGAACTTGAATTGAAAATACAAAAATAAATTTAAAACATTTAGACTATTTCTATTAAAAATTCAGTTATTAAAATGCTTAGATCTTGACATGCGTTTACTCTAAAGTAGAATAGGTAAATGAAGTGAGTTAAAAATTAGGAAGTTAAAGAAAGTTACCTACACCTACACGTTTAATTTAAGAAAATAAAAATATCTGTTAGACATTCTCTAGATTTCAATTTGATTTAGATAATATGAAAAAGGTTATTAATTATAGTGAATAGAATAAAAGTTATTTTTTTAATTAGTTTAAATCAGAGAGAATCTAATCCCAAATAACGTTAAAAAGAAAACACTAAAACAATAAAAGACTTGGAATCCTCATTATCTTAGCACCCTCGATTCAACATTACAGAGACTAGAATAGGATGATTAATCTATTAAATTTAGTTTAAAATTACAGAAAATACTAATACTAATAGTGACCTAGAAAGTCATAAAAATCTCTACTACACAATTAAAAGAAACTTGATTCCTTTTTTCTGGGGCCTAGAATTATATCTGAACTTATAATTGGAAATATAAAAATAAATTTAGAAAATTTAGACTGTTTGTATTAAAAATTTGGTTCCTGAAATGTTAGATATATTGACATGCGTTTAAAATAGTAATAATTAAATAAAAATGAGTTAAAACAATTAAGAAGTTAAAGAAAATTACCTACACTAAGATGTTTAAGAAAATAAAAATAAGTGTTAGACATTTTCTAGCTTTTAATTTTACGTAGATAATATGAAGAGAGCTAATAAGATTTGTACCATTAAGGAGGTGTATTTTACTTTCTCAGATAGTGGCTTTTGTCAAAACTATGGGGCCGTATGATGAGTTATAGCTCAAGGAAGGGGGACACAATAAATAAAAAAAATCAAATCAAATATAGGGGGGCAACATTAATAAAGTTCTTAATAATGCTGTATATATTACTAAGTAGAATTTCTACTACGTGACTTTTATATATTATGTGAACACGCCCTTAACATACGTATAATTTCGTAACATTTAACAATATACATCCAAGTAATAGGATTATAAACATTTAAATACGATGATATAAAGTTTCTTTGATACATTTTTTTCTGATATGACTTTAAAATTGATTTTAAAATTCTTCTAATATCCGGAATATTCTTCATCGTCTTCGTCGTAGCTGTCATCGTTCCCAGGTTCGCCCAGAGCATTTACAAATTCTGTCCAAAAAAAACAGATATAATATAATATATAGATTGAATTATAATAATTGTGAACTTTTACCATAAAAATCAATGCGACCATCACCATCTACGTCAACTTCTTTGATCATATCTTCGACTGAAAAATATAGAAAAAGAAATATTTAAAAAATATATATCCAAAATCAGTATAATATATGGTCAAAGTTTTAAAGAAAAATTTTCAATATTTTCCTGTTTAAATAAATATTTTACCCAGTTTAATGTTTTGTAGTACGTGAAACAATATAAAAATATATTAATAGTGGTCCAAAAAAAATGAATTTTACAGGGATATATAAAATTTAATATACTTTTAGAATATGTATAGTACATACTGAAAGAAAATATTTTTAACTTTGAGTGTAGGAGATGATCTTTTCACAAATCTGACTGGAGATTTTATTTTTATAAATATACCGTTTAAAAAAATATTAAAAAGGTTTGAAACAAACCAAACTATACTTGTCGTATGCAGAATTTTATATTCTTTCAGAATATGTCTTGCATTGATCTGAAATGTTAGTAATTTTAAAGCAGTACTAGGGAGAGACAACCCTATTTCAAGAAATTTTGTCTAAATCTGTTGAAAAAAACACAAGTTTGTATTTAGCTTTAAAAAAATATTAATAATGGTTCAAAATAAATGAATTTTACAGAAGATATATAAAATTTAATGTACTTTTGGGATATGTATAGTACTGAGAGAAAATGTTGTAAACTTTGAGTGTAAACCGAGTTTTCAACAATAGTTTCATAAATCTGACTAGACATTCTGATTTCTTATAAATACCGTTTAAAAATATATTAATTAAAGTGTGAAACAACTCAAACTATACTTGTCGTATGCAGAATTGTATATTCTTTCAGAATATGTCTTGCATTGATCTGAAATGTTAGTAATTTTAAGGCAGTACTAGGGAGAGACAACCCTATTTCAAGGAATTTTGTCTAAATCTGAGGAAAAAACAGGAGTTTGTATTTACTTTTAAAAAAATATTAATAATGGTTGAAAATAAATGAATTTTACAGGAGATATATAAAATTTAATGTACTTTTAGGATATGTATAGTACTGAGAGAAAATGTTGTAAACTTTAAGTGTAAACCGAATTTTCAACAATAGTTTCACAAATCTGACTGGACATTCTGATTTTTTATAAATGCCGTTTAGAAAATATTAATAAAGGTCTGAAACCACTCAAACTATATTTGTCGTATGCAGAATTTTATATTCTTTCAGGATATGTCTTGCACTGATTTCAAATGTTAGTAATTTTAAGGTAGTTCTAGGGAGAGACAACACTATTTCCGAGGATCTTGTCTAAATCTGTGGAAAAAAATACGAGTTGGTATTTAACTTTAAAAAAATATTAATAATGGTTCAAAATAAATGAATTTTACAGGAGATATATAAAATTTAATGTACTTTTAGGATATGTATAGTACTGAGAGAAAATGTTGTAAACTTTAAGTGTAAACCGAATTTTCAACAATAGTTTCACAAATCTGACTGGACATTCTGATTTTTTATAAATACCGTTTAGAAAATATTAATAAAGGTCTGAAACAACTCAAACTATACTTGTCGTATGCAGAATTTTATATTCTTTCAGGATATGTCTTGCATTGATTTCAAATGTTAGTAATTTTAAGGTAGTTCTAGGGAGAGACAACACTATTTCCTAGGATCTTGTCTAAATCTGTGGAAAAAAATACGAGTTGGTATTTAACTTTAAAAAATATTAATAATGGTTCAAAATAAATGAATTTTACAGGAGATATATAAAATTTAATGTACTTTTTAGGATATGTATAGTACTGAGAGAAAATATTGTAAACTTTGAGTGTAGACCGAGTTTTCAACAATAGTTTCACAAATCTGACTGGACATTCTGATTTCTGATAAATACCGTTTAGAAAATATTAATAAAGGTCTGAAACAATTCAAACTATACTTGTCGTATGCAGAATTTTATATTCCTTCAGGATATGTCTTGCATTGATTTCAAATGTTAGTAATTTTAAGGTAGTTCTAGGGAGAGACAACACTATTTCCTAGGATCTTGTCTAAATCTGTGGAAAAAAATACGAGTTGGTATTTAACTTTAAAAAAATATTAATAATGGTTCAAAATAAATGAATTTTACAGGAGATATATAAAATTTAATGTACTTTTAGGATATGTATAGTACTGAGAGAAAATATTGTAAACTTTGAGTGTAGACCGAGTTTTCAACAATAGTTTCACAAATCTGACTGGACATTCTGATTTCTGATAAATACCGTTTAGAAAATATTAATAAAGGTCTGAAACAATTCAAACTATACTTGTGGTATGCAGAATTTTATATTCTTTCAGAATATGTCTTGCATTGATCAGAAATATTAGCAATTTTAAGGCAGTACTAGGGAGAGACAACCCTATTTCAAGGAATTTTGTCTAAATCTGAGGAAAAAACAGGAGTTTGTATTTAGTTTTAAAAAAATATTAATAAGGGTTGAAAATAAATGAATTTTACAGGAGATATATAAAATTTAATGTACTTTTAGGATATATATAATACTGAGAGAAAATGTTGTAAACTTTAAGTGTAAACCGAGTTTTCAACAATAGTTTCACAAATCTGACTGGACATTCTGATTTCTTATAAATACCGTTTAGAAAATATTAATAAAGGTCTGAAACAGCTCAAACTATACTTGTCGTATGCAGAATTTTATATTCTCTCAGAATATGTCTTGCATTGATCTGAAATGTTAGTAATTTTAAGGCAGTTCTAGGGAGAGACAACCCTATTTCAAGGAATTTTGTCTAAATCTGAGGAAAAAACAGGAGTTTGTATTTAGTTTTAAAAAAATATTAATAATGGTTGAAAATAAATGAATTTTACAGGAGATATATAAAATTTAATGTACTTTTAGGATATGTATAGTACTGAAAGAAAATGTTGTAAACTTTGAGTGTAAACCGAGTTTTCAACAATAGTTTCACAAATCTGACTGGACATTCTGATTTCTTATAAATACCGTTTAGAAAATATTAAAGGTCTGAAACAACTCAAATAGTTTTCTACGTGTAACAAATTGTTTTTTACACGTAAAAAATAGTTTTTGCGTGTAAAAAACATATGTTTGTGTGTAAAACTATTTCTTACACATAAAACCTATTTTTACGCGTAAAAAATATTTGTTTCACGCAAAAAACTATTTTTAACTTGTTAAAAACTTATTTTTTTGAAGTTTGATCGGTCTAGGGGGGAGGGTAATTACCCCCATTACCCTTCCCCTAAAACTGTTCTTGGAAACAACCCTACTTCAAGGAATTTTGTCTAAATCTGTGGAAAAATACGAGTTTGTTTTAGCTTTAAAAAAAATATTAGTATAATGGTTCAAAATAAAAGAATTTTACAGGAGATACATTTTATATATGTATTAGCATTTAATGTACTTTTAGGCTATATATAGTACCCGTGTTTATATATTCTTCATATACAAGGGTAGTACTAAGAGGAAATATTGTATTTTTTCACTGCAATTAGTATTGTTAATGTAAAAAAATATACTTAGATGCAATTTACTTTCTAGAAAATAATTTAAATAAAATATTTCATTGCTTTAGATTATATTAAGTATGTTTTCGTTTATTATTTTATTTTTTGCTACATTTTAAATAAACTGGATATTATATCTTAACATAAAGTGGTTTATACATATTTCAAATAGTTTTTTTTTATTTGAGAGCAACAATTATTTTTTTGAATACATTTAGAGTGAATAACTAACTGTACTTGTCATTGACGATTGAGGATGCTTCAAACATAACTCGAATGATATCAAATAATATTTAAAACAAATATGCGGTCCATTGTTAATGAAAAAGTTAACTCTTTAGTAAAAATACGCGAAAATATTTCTAATATTGATACAATCACACGTAGATAGCATTAAAATATGCACAAAAATCACGCCATTTTTATACAGCATAATCACTATACATATACCGTATGATCGAAAAAAAAACGGCGTCCAGTTGGCTGGGAAATGACGTTCGATGACATTTCCCATATCTATACTAATATATAAAATCCTTAAGTGACTGACATACTGATTAATCACGATCCTGCTCAAACCATTCAACGTAAGAAGCTCAATTTTGGCATGCAGGTTTATTCTAGGGTGTAGAGGTTCGATAAGAAGGGATTTTTTGAAATTCCAGTTCCAAGAGGGTGAAACCACCCCTCAAATATTACAATATTTTTTATTTAAAGAACGGTCAAGTTTTCGAAAAAACGCTTAAACACGTATATTTTATTTTGTTGTTTTACATATTTTAAGATTTTTAAAAAATTTATACAGGGTATTTCATAAAATATGACCATTGAGTAATCACGATTCTGCTTAAACTGCTTGACGTTGAAAGCTGATTTTTGGCAAACGGATTGACTGTGGGGTGTAGAGGTTCGACAAGAAGGGGTTTCCCGAATCTCAAATTCCAAGAGGGTGAAAACGCCCCTCAAATATTACAATATTTGTTATTTAAAAAACGGTTAGTATTTCGGGAAAACGCTTGGACACACATAATTTATTTTGTTTTTTTACATATTCTGAAATTTTTTAGAAAATCATACAGGGTGTTTCAAAAAGTTGGGTAATTGATTAACCACGATTCTGCTTAAACTGCTTAACGTAAAAAGCTTATTTTTGGCAAACGGATTTTTCGAAAGTCAAATTCGAACGAGATGAAACTACCCCTCAAATATTACCAAGTTATATAATAATATCGCCATATTGTTTTTTCTCATGCTCACATCAATGTGAGAAAATTTTATCCAGTTTGTATGTTAATGGAAATTCTTGCTTTGCTTTATCATCACCATTACAAATGATTAATTCGACGCGAACGAAGTCGCGTGTACACGCTAGTATATTTATAATTAATTTTTTTTTTCTTAAAATATTTTGATTTAAAGAAAATATGTAAAAGTAGGCAACGCTGTGCCGGTCAAGCTTAATCAAGTTTATTTGATAGGAACTATGTGTCCAACGTAAAAAATTATACTCACTTTCTTCTTCTGATAAATCTTCGCCCAAACATTGCAACACTGCCCTTAAGTCTGACGATGTGATGTAACCCCTGTTATGCTTATCGAACACCCTAAAAGCATCCCTTAGTTCCTTTTCTTCCTCCTCTCTAGATAGTAACTGGTCAGAACCTGTTCCAGCCCCGGCAGACCAGGCGATGTCAATGAATTCTTCGAAACTTACATTTCCATCGCCTAAAAACGAATTTAGTTTAAATTTCGACGATTTTGGTTAAAAAATGTTTTATAAACATGTTTTACCATCGATATCGATTTCTTGAAGCATTTGTTGTAGTTCTTCAGTTCTTGCAAACTGTCCTAAAGATCTCATGACTCTGCCTAGTTCCTCTTTGGTAATACTGCCGTCTCCATCTTTGTCGAAGAGTCTAAAAGCTTCTCTGAACTCTGTAAAATATTTTAATATATCAAGTTATATAAATAAATGCTTAATTTCAAAAATGACAGGCTTTAGAAGAAAACGGAGTGCCACATTCTCATAAAAGATATGATTATCTACAACTTTTATCTGAAAACTTTTTGTCTAAAATAGCTTATAATGAATTAGGAACAATTTTTAAAATAGCCGAAATTTGTTTTTTTTCGAAATATCTAGTAAGCCATGAACTTTTTCAAAAATCTAAAAAGCGCATATTTATGACCCCACAAAACTGCAATTCTTTCCCCATTTAACCGACTCTCTATCTCCAGTAGTTTCCGAGATACCCATAGAAAACATCGTAGGAAACTCATCCTGTATACAGGGTGTTTCAAAACAAATGCGAAAAACTTCAGGGGGTGATTCCTTGTTCAAAATAAAGGGTAGTTTGCTTCATAAACGTTGGGTCAAAAGTCAACCATTAGGGAGATATTGCGGTACAAAGATGGCGGAAAAATAATGTTTTTATTTTTTATCTTGAAAACGAAAAGAGATAGACTAATAAAATTTTAGGGAAGCATTACTGTTATGAAAACACACTTTCTGGTAATTTTTTCACTTTTTAAAATGAGTGGAAGGGGTTGAAATAAACTACCCCTATCATTCTTGTTAACGAAATTTAAAGAAAAATCTTATCAAACACATGCAAAAAAATTAATTTGATAGTTTAGTTTGTTTAGAAACTTTTTTATCTCTTGTATTTTTTTGATAAAACTCACCGATTTGAAATTAAAAAATAAAATATAAAGCATTACATGTCAGGACAAAAAACATTTTCTGATAAAGAATCTAGTGGGCTGCTGTAATTTTTTTAGGAAAAAATCTAGTCGGCCGCTGTTACTTTTTAAGATGTTCCTAATATTATTTTATTTGACATTACTCTACTGCAATACGTTATTATCTAGATGATTATTATTATCGTTATTATCACTAGATTCTTAATCTAAAAATGTTTTTTGTCCTGACATGTAATGCTTTACATTTATTTTTAATTTATTTGCATGTGTTTGGATAAGATTTTTCTTTAAATTTCCTGTTAACAAGAACGATAGGGTAGTTTATTTCAACCCTCTTCCCACTCATTTTAAAAAGTAAAAAAATTACCTGAAAGTGTGTTTTCATAACAGTAATGCTTCCATAAAATTTCATTAGTCTATCTCTTTTCGTTTTCAAGATAAAAAATAAAAACATTATTTTTCCGCCATCTTTGTACCGCGATATCTCCCTAACTGTTGACTTTTGACCCAACGTTCATAAAGCAAACTACCCTTTATTTTGAACAAGGAATCACCCCCTAAAGTTTTTCGCATTTGTTTTGAAACACCCTGTATACCGTTTAAAAAAAAATGTTAGTAATGCCCTTGTAATGCTCTGAAACAACTCTAACTGTACTTATATGTAGAATTCTATATTCTTTCTTTAAGAATATGTCTTCTTTTAAGCTTAAATGTTAATAGTTTTAGGGTAGAGTCAGCATTATTAAGGATAATTGGTGAAAAATCGATGTAAGTAAGACATACTATTGATCAGCATGACGAAAATATGCTTAATTTTAAGTACAAAGTTAATTAAATATTTTAAACGGTGTATTAATGTGATATTTAAAAAATATTCAATTTTTTACCCATTTCCATATATGGCGAATGCGCTAGGTGAAATATATAATGCATATTTCTCCCAGCGCATTCGCCATATTATTGAAGTTAGCTGAAACTACAAATAAAGTCGAAATTTTAATTATATTTTTTTTCGTACTTTTCGAGTATTGAGAATACAAAGCAAAATTTTATATAGTTAAAAAAAAACGCAGAAAAATATAAAACACAATAAATAAAAATTAATGGTACCTTTCATTTGGCTTTTGGAGACTTTGCTTAACTTCGAAGATATGTGAGTGGTGTTTTGAGCTTTTTCCTCTCCTGGTACATTTTTCTTCGCTTGGATATTGTTTGTACTATTATCCTCGATTTTCCTGAAACTCTGTACCCCATCTGGCTGATCGGAATGGTTGTTCTGCTTTGTCTAAATTTTTTAAATCAAATTATATTCAAAAATATTTTTTAGGAGGTATGTACTTACAAAATGTAAGCGCAAAATTTGAGAAAGCTGTAGACATTTGAAGTAATTCTTCATTTTAAAATAAAGTATGACTTCGAATTCCAAATGTACTTAAATATGTTGAAAAAAAATATTTCTTTATATATATGGTACTATCAATGACGTAAATTAAACAAAAATCGTGACTTAAGTCAGATTCATCGGGTTTCACAAATTATATTGTGGTTTAAGGAGGAATTTGTTTACAGGTCATCTATTGTTTAACAAATAATACCAAATCTACGTTAAGAGAAGAATAAATAGTAATAATCATAAAGTATTTGTGTCATACTTTCTGTAATGTAAGACCTCTAATGATAGTGATATTTGCTTTTATTTAATTTTAATAATATAATCAAATTTTAATATAATATACTTTTATCAACGTCACTAAACATATTTATTATACAGGGTGTTTCAAAACAAATGCGAAAAACTTTAGGGCGTGATTCCTTGTTCAAAATAAAGGGTAGTTTGCTTTATAAACGTTGGGTCAAAAGTCAACCATTAGGGAGATATCGCGGTACAAAGATGGCGGAAAAATAATGTTTTTATTTTTTATCTTGAAAACGAAAAGAGATAGACTAATGAAATTTTATGGAAGCATTACTGTTATGAAAACACACTTTCTGGTAATTTTTTCACTTTTTTAAAATGAGTGGAAGGGGTTGAAATAAACTACCCCTATTATTCTTGTTAATGAAATTTAAAGAAAAATCTTATCAAGCACATGCAAAAAAAAATAATTTTGATAGTTTGGTTTATTTAGAAACGTTTTTATCTCTTGTGTTTTTTGATAAAACTCACCGATTTGATATTAAAAAATAAAATGTAAAGCATTACATGTCAGGACAAAAAACATTTTTAGATAAAGAATCTAGTGGGCAGCTGTAATTTTTTTAGGAAAAAATCTAGTCGGCCGCTGTCACTTTTTAGGATGTTTCTATTATTGTTTTATTTGACATTACCCTACTGCAATACGTTATTATCTAGATTATTATTATTATCATTATTATCACTAGATTCTTAATCTAAAAAATATTTTTAGTCCTGACATGTAATGCTTTACATTTTATTTTTTAATTTCAAATCGGTCAGTTTTATCAAAAAATACAAGAGATAAAAAGTTTCTAAACAAACTAAACTATCCAAATTAATTTTTTCGCATGTGTTTGATAAGATTTTTCTTTAAATTTCGTTAACAAGAATGATAGGGGTAGTTTATTTCAACCCCTTCCACTCATTTTAAAAAAGTGAAAAAATTACCAGAAAGTGTGTTTTCATAACAGTAATGCTTCCATAAAATTTCATTAGTCTATCTCTTTTCGTTTTCAAGATAAAAAATAAGAACACTATTTTTCCGCCATCTTTGTACCGCGATATCTCCCTAATGGTTGACTTTTGACCCAACGTTTATGAAGCAAAGTACCCTTTATTTTGAACAAGGAATCACCCCCTGAAGTTTTTCGCATTTGTTTTGAAACACCCTGTATATTATTATACAGGGTGCTACAAATTCGAGGTACGAGCATTGGTATCTCGGAAACCGTAATAGATACGAAGATGATGGGGCAAAGTTACTCCTTGGGATGTTCAAGAATATGCCATTAAAAAAAAATAAAAATGTCAAGGATTGTTGAGTTTTTTGGAAAAAACGGATTTTTTGAAAATCAATTTTATTTTTTCCTGTCGTTACTTTTTGGAAAATCAAAAAACTAATTGCACATTCTCATAGCCACTATATTAGGGCTATCTAATGATATTTTTAGATTTTCAAATTAGCTGATAATTTGTGAGATACAGAGGCCAACTTAATTTTTTTAAATACAAACCTGCATTTTCTATTTGAGGTGTTAAAAGAACTCGGTCTCCTTTAATCTTACTATATTCATCGTAACAATATTGATCAGCGCTAATTAACATTGAATAAGAAAAATCGAGCCATTTGAAAGATTCAAATAAATAATGTCCAGGTTAGCAATTTAAAGATATTCTTATTAATTCTTTTACAAACTTGTTTCTAATGCTCTAATGTTCGAAAGGATTACCACCCTCACTAATGCACAAATTAATTTATTTTTTGTTCAATTTTATTTATAGCTCTTTGAACGTATCTTCTTCTATACTTCCGAATGCATTTTGTACTCTTTATTGTAAATGTTGAAATGTATTGATTTCACTTTTACAAATGAAGTCAAGAAATCCCCCCCCCCCTCCTCGCCCATTGGTAATAGATCCAGGAACCTTGCTGACCATTATACTGCTCTACCATTTCAAATGTGATTTCAAATCCATCTTCCGGAGAAATAACTTGATTGTTTATATTATTTATTTTTTTATTATTTTGTTGCGTTTGATTTTCCTTATTCACTATTATATTCCACGTCACTGTTAAGTTTGAAAGCTTATCAATATTGTAACGATGAATTGATTAAATATTAAAAAAAAACAGAGCCGGACTTGCAGTTATAGTTTAAATAAATTGTGTTTAAATGTCCAAAACACAGAAAAAAAATATTAAGTGTGCCTATCATTGTACTCAGGAGACAGAGTTCATTCAAAACCTGAAAAAAAAATGCAGGTCCGTATTTAAAAAAATTAAGTTCGCCTCTGTATCTCACAAATTATCAGCTAATATAAAAATCTAAAAATACTCTCAGATAGCCTTGACAAAGTGGCTATGAGAATGTGCAATTAGTTTTTTGATTTTCTAAAACGTAACGTCAGGAAAAAATAAAATTGATTTTCAAAAAAATCAATTTTTCTCAAAAAACTCAACAATCCTTGAAATTTTTTAACCTTTTTTGATAGCATGTTGGCAAACATCCCAAGGCGCAATCCTTTGCCCCAATTAACCATCTTAGTACCTATTACGGTTTCCAAAATACCAATGCTCGTACCTCGAATTTGTAGCACCCTGTATATTTCTAATACTTATTTTTCAAAACTAGTTTAAAATGTTATATTTCTCTTATTTTTAGCCTTATTTAATTGATTTTTTTTAGCAAACTGTATAGAGGGTGTTTCAAAAAACATGTGCCATCTCCCATGGGGAGATTCCTCACGTAAAAATATGATTTATTTATCATTCCAAACACACGTGCTTTGATTAAGGCTTTATTAAGGTTTGCAAGCTTCAGCGTTTTTCATAAAATTGCGAGCAATTTGTTACAAAACCATATAAATTATATATCACTGTAATCACAAAACTTCAATCTATTTCCGAATTGTAACGGAATTTTAAATTATGTCTTTATTTTCGAGAAAATTTAGTCCAAACATAAGGAATATTTTGTTGATGATTGACCATCAAAAACTTAAAAATAAAGAAGTTGTCTAAAAATGTGCTACAATATGGATATAGTCCCAAGTAGCATTTTCGCGGCTTGCGACCACATGTTTACTAAACACAACGTTGGATTAGTTACAAAAAATAGTTACCTCCCTACCTTGGGTATTAAAATAAATTTAAACGTTTTTATAACGTTGTGCCGACGTTGGACTAGTACTACAGCAAAGTAGAAGCTTCTGCGACGTCGAATAAACGTTGTCTTGTAACCTTTTTTGCTTAAGTGGTCTTTAGGTGATTCGGACAACGTAGTTACAACGTTGGACAATATAGAGTTTTCCGACGTCAGTTTCAGGACCTATTCCAACGTTATGCAAACGTCGTCTGTTTTACTAATTCCAACGTTGTTTAGATTTCCTTATTCTTACGTTGGTAGGACGTCGAGTCACTACCTTTATGCAACTGTATTGAACCATAACCTTAAATCTTAAATTTTCACTTCATTGTTCTGTTCAGTCAGACAGTTCAGTGCTGTTTTTGTTTTTATAAAAAAAACTTAATTAAAATGGGACATAAGAAAGGTACATAAAAAACTAAATTTAAATATATATCGACATATATTACCGATAGTTTATCCACTCCCTCGTTTATTTAGATTATAGAGGGCGGCACAAGCTAGATTCTAGGATGACTAAATTAGGCAATCTTGCGACTAGTATACTACCTGTTAAGGCCGAACTGCGACTTTATTAGTCCAGTATGCGACTACTCGAACTACTCCATCTTAATCTCCAAAACAACAAAGTGAAAACCGCCATGTTGTTAAATAAGAAAATATTTCGTTCCTAAAATAGCAATTCCTGCTTTTTGAATCCATTAACTTGAAATATTTGACCCTAAAAAACACGCGGAAACAATTTTTTCGACTGCGAATAAATTATTTTCATTTTACTAAAAAAAAATTCAAGAAAATTTTTAAAACTTCTTTAATTTTAAGGCCCATTAGTATTTTTCAAAGTAGAAACAATACATTTATCAATAAAGTTGTTGGCGTTTAACTTTTTTGCCTTGGGTATCGAGTTACAGAGTCGGTTAAAGCGTTTCACTAATTATGATCTTCAAACATCCTCCACACTTAAATACTTTTCTTTTGTTTTCCTTCACTGCCATCTGACATATGTCTCTAACTAAATCGTAAAAATAATATTTTTACTATAATTATCCCAATTTAATATAAAACGCGACTTAGACGCCATATTAGTTTTGTATTTCTGTGAATTAGGATTTTAAACAACGTTGCAGTTTGTACTAAATTAGGCTTCTAGCCAACGTCGGTATCCAACGTCGTTTCGACCCAAAAATTATTCTCCAAACTAGTGCAGACTAGGGTTGGCACGAGGTTGTGCCGACGTTGCGCCCCGACGTTTGGTCGCGTGACACAACGTTGTCCCAACGTCCAAATGCTGCTTGGGGTTTAATCCTTTATCTTTAATTTCCTTCTTCATTTGTGTAAAAATATCTAGCCAGTTTTGCACAGGGTGTTTTAAAGTTAAGGTAAAAACAAGCCTTCAATTAACCCTGTATAATACACAAGGATAATACACACACCGGAAAAATCTAGGGATATCATTTTATTAAAGTTAAAAATAAATGTTTTGAATAAACAACCACATATTTGTAGGCCGATTCTTTCTACTTCGATTGAAACGAAGTAGTCACACTAGTTATTTCTAAATTTGGGATATTTGCAGAAGTGTTTGTGCATTTTTTGTCAAATGTATAAAAATCACCTAGCGTCAATTGTTCGAATTTAACCTGTACTGGCTATGTTTTTATGATAACTGGCCAGAATTCATTCAAATAACTCTGTTTTGTATTAAACGACATTATGGAGCGTAGACATCTTAACAGAGACGAAATGCTAAGGGCCATGGGTATGCTCGAAGCTGGAATGCGCCAAATCGACGTAGCTAGAGCATTAAATGCAACGCAAAGTGTGATATCGCGATTAAGTGCACGCTACCGTGAAAGTGGTGATGTTGCTGAAAGGCACACAGGGCGACATCGCATTACTACCCCTCAGCAAGATCATTTTTTACAATTAAATGCTCGACGCCGACCGACTCTTACAGCACCAGAGCTTAGTTTAATTCTCCAAGAAACACATAATGTAACCGTTAGTTCTGACACTGTTCGCAATAGATTAAGAGAGGTCAACTTAAGAAGCAGACGCCCCTGGAGAGCTCAACCCTTAACGAGAGGAAAACGAGAGGTACGATATTTGTGGGCTCAAGATCAATGTTCTCTTCACGGATGAGTCCCGCTTTGGAATTCATCCGGATTCGAGTAGGCTTAGGGTATGGAGAGAACCGGGAAATCTTATTCGGTTGGATAATGTTCAGGAAGTGCATCCTTATCAAGGTGGAACAGTTATGGTCTGGGGAGGAGTCCACTTAGGCCAAAAACCCGATCCCGTTTTTCTTGAAAGGTTTCTAACAAGAATCACAAATCGTGATTTAGTTCTTGAGCCTGTCGTGTTACCATATGCCAATGATTTTGGGAGAAACTTCATTCTCATGCATGACAATGCACGGCCTCATACAGCCAGAGTGGTAAGTGAGTTTTGATAAATGCTCATCGATTAAACATCTTACCGTGGCCGGCACAATCTCCTGACCTCAACCCCATCGAGCACGTATGGGACACGGTCCAAAGAAGAATTTTGAGAATGGGTATGCCTCGTGAAACTCGTAGGGATCTGGTTCGGGCCGTGAATGCAGCGTGGCAGGCTGTATCTCAAGAAGAGATCGACAACCTGATCAGGAGCATGGAGAGACGATGTAGGGCTGTAATGAACAGTAGAGGAGGCCATACCCTTTATTAAGTAAAAATGGTTTTATCTTTTTTTCTTTTAATTCACAGTTTAGAATTAAAAAAATGTGTGTATTTTTTTGAGTTCAATAAAAATCTAGGTAAATTTGAAAAATTCGGTAAATTTCGCATTTTTATTTTCAATACGTCCTGTAAACTATTTGTTTATTTTAATTTTATTATATTAGAAATGCAAATAATAAAATTACTAACGATGGCTGGATAAAATTGTAATATCCCTAGACTTTTCCGGTGTGTGTATAAGCCAAATACTAAAGTTTGTAATAAACTGGGTTTACGAATTAAAGTTGATAGATTTATATACAGTTTGTCCAAAAAATTATACAATTAGGGCTAAACGTAAAAAAATAACACTTTAAACTTGTCTATATTCTCCAAAGGTGCTTTAACATTTGATTTTCATAAAAAAAAACGAAGGTGTCTGAAATAGTTAGTAGTTTTATATGTTTAGGGGACATTGGGACAACCTGTACTCAATTTTAGCGTGATAAAATAATACTTACCATCAAATCTTTGATGTGATTCACCAATGGTGACGTCGTAAAAAAATTATTCACTGCAGAGAACAGCTTACCCTCAAACCTAGCCACTTTTATGGATTTCTGAATATCTTAGAGAAACACTAATAAAATATAAGATAAATTAAACTCATATTAGTAAAGCTATGGGTACGATTGTATAAATCTTTAAATTTCTTGGTGTTTTTTTTATTTTCCAAGCCTTCTTGACGCCGTTTTTTTATACAAATTAAAGTGTCCAGTATATATTTCTAGATAATATAACAACTAAATTTTTGTATATATTTTGAAATTATGTGAGATTTAATATAAAAAATTTGATGAATATTAGTAGAAATCATAAAATTATCAGCCTTACTGAGTAGCTAATAGCAAAATAACAAATAATATTGAAATCAGATACTAATACAGTAATATAATTGATTAATAAGAAAATTGAAACATACCTATGGATATAAATCCACAAAATATTAGACACAATCTGTCTTGATTCTTGTTTTTTTTATGATTGTAATTTTTTGGGACAACCTGTAGAATTTTCGCTACACTACAAAGAAAATTTAGCCCTAATTATTGCGTTGAATGGGAAAATTATTGACGATTTTCTCTGCTACGCGCTGCGGATGTGCCGGAAAACGTACCCAAGATGAAATCTTGGGAAACTCTACGTCTGCGCGTTGGAGGGAAAACAAGGATGCTTAGAGATGAATTTTCCTCAAACAGTGGCAGCAAAATCCATTGTGAGAAGTGTCGTATACAGGACGTTTCAAAACGAACACCTAAAAAAGAGATTGGATTTAATAATTAGTAATGTATAATCGAAAATAGCGACAATATGGTGAAGGAATTTTTTAAATAATTTTTTATCTATTATTGCCTTTTATAGTAAACTAAATATAGTAAAAAAATGAAACTGCCTATAAAAATAAGACGAAATACTAAAAATAAACTGACATTTACAGAAATAATATTGTTTTATTCCTAAAATGTTTAATTTTATCTTACTTTACTGATTTCTTTCGACTTATTTCTTTCGAAAATCGATGAACAAAAACTATGAAACTATGATCCCTTCCCAGACACAAACGGTTAATTGTGAGACAGGAAATTGTAGAGAGAAACAAGCCCTATAATATAGGATACAACATTTTAATGAACAGTGCTTTCCATAAAATCAATAAAATGAAAAATATACGAAATAATATACATGTACTGATTTCTTTCGAAAATCGACAACGATGAAACTATGAACCCTTCCCGGATACAAACGGTACATTGTGAGACAGGAAATTGTAGAGAGAAACGAGCCCTATAACATAGGATGCAACATTTTAATGAACAATGCTTTCCATAAAATCAATAAAATGAAAAATATACGAAATAATATACATGTACTGATTTCTTTCGAAAATCTACAACTATATGAAACTATGAACCCTTCCCGGACACAAACGATACATTGTGAAACAGGAAATTGTAGAGAGAAACAAGCCCTATACAGGGGTGCATATACGGGAAGGGTAATGGGAGTAATACCCCTCCCAGAAAGAAATTAATTAATGAGATGAAATTTGGTATAAAATAAAATTGTTACAAAAAAGTTAATAATACAAATTAAAACAGAATATCCAAACCAATCCAAACCGAGTCCAAAATTTGATCGGCGGCCATACTTTGGTGACAAGATTTCGAGGTGACACCAAGCGAATTTTTATGCTTTTTGTGAATACTGTTTTGTTTTAAATTTATAAACTGTGTTGTTTAGTATGGTGAAATGTTCAGCGTATGGCTGCAAAGGCCGAAGCGAGAAAAAAGTGGCTGGAATTACATTTCACAGGTAAAAATCGACACACAACTTTTGTTATGTGGTCATAAAATGTAATTTTTTCCATTATAGCAGTAAAAATATGTAAAATGCTTTTAATATGTCTTGTACCACATACTAACAAAACTATTTTTAATAATTCCAAATAGTATTTTCAATATCCTGTGTTATAATTAATGTTTGAAACTATAAATAACGCTACTCAGCATGGATTTCTCCAGCGGCGTAGGGAATTATAATTAGAGAAATACAATTTCTGCAATAAACATTTTTTACATATTTTACACTTAAAAAAATGTATAAAGTATTGTTATCAAATAGTAAAATAATTGTAAACTATAAAAAAAATGAAAAATTCTAGTGATAAAAAATTTATATGTATATAGTTGTTATATAAAACTTAAATTTACCTGCCAAGATTTGCTGGGGGTTGACAAACTTGTGGTGGGCTACTTGTTACTATATTTTTTTAAATATTCTTTCAAGAAATTTGCTAATTTAGGTGTATAATAACAGTTTCTTCAGTAAGCAATTAATAAAAATTTAAAAATAAATAAAATAACACAAAAAGCTTCTAGAATTGTTTATTTTTTTTGGTGGAATATAAGAATATTCTTATGATTGAAGGTAACAAATATTAAAAATTACATTATTCATTGAATCCGTACGCAACTGTGAAGGGAATTGGCTAGATTCATTATTATACCGTATGATCGAAAAAAAAACGACGTCCAGTTGGCTTGTAAATGACGATCGACAACATTCCCCATATAATTTTACATATAAAATGACAGCGATCTTCATTTCATAGCCATCGCTGACGCCGTCTTTTTTCGATGTCGTTTTGTATAGTTTTTGTCATTTTATATGTAGAATTATATGGGGAATGTCATTGATCGTAATTTACAAGCCAACTGGCCGTCGGTTTTTTTTTCGATCATACAGTATAATAATGAATCTAGCTAATCCCCTTCACACTTGCTTACGGATTCAATGAATAATGTAATTTTTAATATTAATTTGTGAAATTGTCATTTCCAAACAAACAAGACGCCGTTTTTTTCGATCATACGGTAATATGTATATACACATTTAAAACATATATATGTACATTATTTTTTATTTAATTATACATTATACACACGTTAATAAATAAATAATTGTCTTGATAATCAGTCCACTGTGACTGTTAAATAAATTTTGCATTATCGACTGAGATATTCTAATATTATAAAGATGAGACTATAAAATACAAAATTGTATATGCATTATTCAAAAATGAACGATATATTAGTTTACGTTTTAATAAATATTTTATACCGTCTAGGTACAAGCTAATTTCTGATGCTACGCCATTGGAGAATTTCGTGTGGTGACAACTTGCCTCACTTTCAGCTGCCGGGTTACCTGTCCCCTCTCTTTCCTTGTCTAAGAACATTTCAGGATGGCAAGGGGGGCAGTGGGGGGCAGGTACCAAAACGTATGTTGTCAGTTGTAATCAGAAAATAGCATGTTTTCTACATACATTATTTGAATATTGAAAATTGTATATGCTTGATAATGAATTATTAAAAAAAGCTTTTCCCTACAGTATCAAATCGATAAATATAGCAACAAAACTGGGTAATACCCAAAACTGATTTATAATAGGTATAACTTTTGTTTTAGAAAGTATTATGTATAGAGAAACATTCCTTCAAAGAAATTAATTTGAGCAACTTGGCAACGTAGCCATCGCGGAGAACGAGAACGACGAGAACCACGTGGCCGCCATTATTATTTATGGTTTTCTTCAGGGCCATGTAAGTAAAATATTAAAAATGGTTCCAGCAAAAGTTTCCCAGTTATGACGGATGATGGCGCTGATCGTCAAAATTTTTGGACAGGGATTTTGCTTACCGACAATACGACGTGAGCTACGACCGGACCAGGACCTATCAGAATGATCAGTCTTTCTTGGACATTTGCCGCGGAAGTGTGTGTTACTGTTGTGATAAGTGTGGTTGTGTTTGCAGTTTGATTTTTCGGTTTTGATATTATGTTAAAATTAATTTTGAAGTATTGTATCACCTGTTTTTATGTAATAGTACTTTTTTAGTTCTATGATCTGATATGTTATGATTTGTTAATGTTTGTTTAACAATGTTATACCAAAGAGGTTATACTTAATATACTTATGAATTTGCATAGCTAACTTTTTTATCAATAAACTTCAGATTATTTAATTCCTTTTGTTTCCGTTTGTAATTTTTATTTTTAAGACATATTATGTGATTGTTTCACATAATATGTTTTAAAAAATAAAATTGCAAATAGCGAATAAAAATAATTAAAATAAAAAAGTGTATTTTACAATTCCCCCCGGCCCCGCACCCCTTTGGCTAACCTATAATGTCAGCTATGTCGAGAGATGGCGTTACGAAAATGGAACCGATTTATTACAAGGAACTTGGGCTTCTTTTTCGTTAGTATATTCTGTGGTTTTCTTGGTGTTTTCTTGTGTTTTTCGTAGTTTTCGCGGTTTTTAAACTGTTTTCTTTTGTGCTGTTTGAAGATAAGTGGTGATAATGGTGAAAAAGTGCATTGTGTGCAAAAAGACTTATTTTAAAGGATGCAATTTATCATTTCATCGGTAAGTAAACAATAACATTCTTGTAAATCCCACGTTCTCCATAGGCGTCTCTACAAAGTTTTATTAGAAAAAACTAATTATTATGAACTGACGCGAGTCAGCAAACTAATGAAAGCTCAAAAGAAAAAAAGACACGGTAAATAATTGTGTAGTTTGGTTAGGTTAGGTTAGGCATGGTTAAGTTTAACCATGGTTCAGCTAAATGCAAATACATTTTAATAAAATGTATTTGGCTAAATGCAAATACATTTTAATAAAATGTATTTGGCTAAATGCTACTGGTACCCATTTTGAAATACATTGCTGTCGGAAATTCGTGAAACTTGTCAGACATTGACAGCAATGCATTTCAAGTGGGTACCAGTAGCGTTTAATTGAACCATGGTTAAACTTCGATCGTACATCTGGGCCTTACAGTCCTGCAAAAGGATCTATTTCTTTCCAAAATACAGCTAGCTTCTCGGATAACTGGGGTATTTCTTAGAAAGAAATTCCTTTTCTAGCGAGTTACATAGTTTGTCTTCTTGGGGGTTGATCCTCAAATCAAGGAGCAACGCTCCCAGGGAAAAACCTTCCGGGGAGTTCACATTGTTCCCATTTCATGATGTTATAGTTCGTTCTTTGAACCATCTCACACGTTTTAAGAATAGGAAATGTTTGCGAAAAGGAGACATCAGGCATAATCATGGGGTGGGCACAACGCTAACTCCCTCGGAGGGTCTCTCCCTGGGAGCATTAGTCCCAGACACAAGAATCGACCCCCTGGGCTCTAAAGATTTATTAGTTTAGCATCAAAATATTAATCATTTCAAATTTTAAAATATTAAAAAATGTCAAAATAACATCTTTTTTAAAGTACAGCCTATGTATATATTTACTTTATATTTTTGCAAGTTACTAAAGCTTATTATCACGGAATTATTTATCTACAAATAAAGCTTCTGTCTTGTTACTTTTTTAAGGGTTCCTGTTGAAATGGAGAGAAGGGTGGCATGGTCATTGGGATTGGGTATAGAGTTTCCTAAAACTTCCTGTATCCATGTTTGCTCGGATCATTTTGCTGAAAATGATTTTACAATAGGTAATGTCACAGCGCGATCTGATGAAACAGTATGTCGAAAGCAACTGCGTTCCACTGCAACACCTGGAATGTTGCAGGAAATTATTGCTATAGAGGACAGGTAATTTATTATATTATTACTTTGAATAAGAAGACTAAGGAAGGAGCATAATGCTATCCATGTATTCATGCATGGTGGGCGGAAAAAGCGCCATAAAAGCACTCTAGGGTGGGGATCCTTGACAGTTCTGTTTGACGATTGATTTGACACATTTGAATTTGATTTGAAATTTTGTGGATTTGTCAGTCTTTACGGAGCTTATTTTATGTTATTTATTATTTATTCTACTACTGATAGTTGTATAAAGGTAGTAAATCTAGATGGAAATTGTGGCAGCACTTAAATTAACAGTGACACTATGGCGATTTATCGAAAAGACTCTAAAATAGTTGGTTGTGTAGCGTGCGGTAGATCTCGGCAAAAATTGAGTGAAATAATGGAACAACTTTTCGCTAGTAAGTGACTATATAATATACATACGTGTAGTAAACCGATCATTTATGAAATTCACTTAAATTAACTAAATTATATATTTTTTCTTGCATTTTAGCTTTTATTTATTACTTGTCAAAGATTAGATGTCAAAAGAATTTAGATACGTTAATTTGACTTACCTGCTTCAGTAGCGTATCGGATGTTTGTGGTAATAAATATTTATTATAACTTATCTATTTTTATTAGAAGTATATATTTTTATAACAATTTTAATAACTACCAACATTTATTCACAACGTAAAATAAAACAACAAATTATTGAGTCTACCCCACGTCTACCCTACATCATAGTTTTGCATTTTTTAAATAAAATTAGAACGACACTGATAAACCGGAATTTAAGTCGGCCATATTTGAGGCCCATCGCGGTGTACCTAAGATTTTTGATATGCTCCTTCCTTAGTCTTCTTATTCAAAGTATTATTATTAAACTATTTTTGAAATGTGTCGATATTTTTCATTTTTTCATTTTTTTTAACACACAGAAAGCGTTTTTAGCGTTTTGCGTGTTTTGCGTCTCAAGCGCTTTTCGCTATTTTACCGTTTTAAGCGCTTTTGTCGATTTGGGCTCTGGTGCACAATAGGTCCCCATGCATTTAACACTTTTTAGGATTTTTTTGCAAGATTATCTTAAACTGAACATTTTTAAGCAAAAAAAATGTTGGATGACTGTGTTTTATCTTTAAAAAGCGGCAAAAAAACGTATTTTAGGTACAGGCGACGGACAGTAAATATGTAAAATTTTCTACACGGATTCAGTAAAAACATCACATATTAGCACTTTATTACCTTATACAGACATGGAATGACCTAATTTAAGCACAAAAATGTAACGAATCTTCTTTGTAAGCATAAAAATTAAGAAAATATGTTTATTTACAACATCCCAAACCAGCAATTTTATGAGTTTTTCGATTGACAGTTAATCGATCGTCGGTATGTCATCTATGGCCTTCGCATAGAATTTGCGACGTTGTCAATAAAATTAATTTATAGGACTTTCTTCTGAAATAAAGTTGACGTGGAGGGACTCAAAACAGTAGTGATTTGTCTGTCCGTAGACGTTAAGGTAGCTTCGTTAATGACTCGATAAGCGGGTTTTGATTACATTGGTTTTGGGTTGGTCTAGTCACACATCAAAGTTGCCATAACAGCTAGAGCAATCAATGTTTTGATTGCTTTTAACGCACAAACAAAGTGAAACAAGAGCAATCAAAACATGCGTAAGCGTGTTTTTATTACTATTTTCTCACCTTTTGCTTGGTTTTCGGTTGGTTTGGTTGGTTGGTTGGTTGGTTTTGGATTGGATATAAGCGCGCTAAACCTAGAATTTACCAAAAGCATTAACAAATTAGGTTAGCTTGGTTATTTGGAGGGTGTTAATGCATTGGTTAGCCTGGTTATTTGGAGGGTGTTAATGCATTGGTTAGCCTGGTTATTTGGGGGGTGTTAATGCATTGGTTAGCCTGGTTATTTGGACGGTATTAATGCATTGGTCAGCCGGGTTATTTGGGGGGTGTTAATGCATTGGTTAGGTGGTTATTTGGTGGGGTTGGTTGGTTTTTACTAATTTTTATTTGTTTTTTTGATATTTTAAATCGTCAAAATCCGCATTTTTTCTGATTTTTACTAATCTTTGTTTTTTTGATATTTTAAATCGTCAAAATCCGCATTTTTTCTGGAATAATACTGCTCTAAAACATCCCTGCTGAAGTGAATTTAAAAAAAAATGCTTAATATCTGTTGCACTAAAGTGTTACGGACCCAAAGCTGCTTCTAGTCGCACAGTAAAGTTGCCATAATACAGCTGAAGAATACGAAACAAATTAATTAATATTATTAAATTATGTAATGATTTTAATGTCAATTTATTTTTATAGTGTTTTTTTTTGTTTTGCCTCGTTTATTATATTTTTAATTTTTCGTGTTAAAGTACGTACTAACTGTAAAAAAAACGAATATAAAGTCGAACGTTTTCGTTGATTTTACACAGGGTGAGTCTGGCAACACTGTGCATAACCTTGTATTTTACTCGCTTTACGAAGGTTATAATAGGGAGTTTTGGCAGAAAAAGTGGTTCATCCAATAATTTTTTTCTTTTAAACTATTCCATTAACTATGGGATCCACATTAAAAATTAAAAAAACCTCGAATTCGTGGGGACCTGTTCTGCACAAGACCCGTCGATTTGTGTTCATTAAAAACACGCAAAAGACGCGGCAGGTCTGCAATTTCTATCAAGATGTCATTTAGTAACGTCGCGCGTCGCAAACTCGTGGATTCCCGGCCCGTCCAACAATCAATCCTGTGAGAAAGAGATAGGCGAGATCGGCGCCGCTAGCGTTGAAGGGACGAAGATAAAGGATGCTGAGATTGAATTGTGGACGGGCCGGGGAATATATTCGGAGACAAACACAATCTACTGCTAGTGCCAGTGGTATGTGTATGTGTAAAAATAATAATTATATGCCATTTATTTTAGGAATTTTAGTTTATATGTGTATAGTTTTTTATGTTGTAGTGTTGTGGTTAGTACTTGTTATAATTATAGTATAATATAATAAATAATTATAATTATATAATAGAATAGTATATAAATATTTCTCGTTGCTAATGCAATTTTAGGACATGATTTATGAAACATTTTGGAGTGAAACTTCTTTACGCGCGCTGGGAGTAAACATTCAAGGCTGTGACATACGAGCTAGCGAGACGGCCCTGACACACGAGCTAGTTGTAACGAAACGTGTTAACGGCTTAGAAATACGTAGTGACGCGACGTGTATTTGTGAGGAGTCCACGTGTTTATCAAAAATATTGATATTTTAATACATTTTTTGTAAAAGTGAATCAAATTATTTATTACGTGTAAAAACCATTTATAACAGGTAAAAAAATATTTTTATTATTTTACGCTAATAAAATTGTTATACGTAAAAAATTATTTTTTTAGGCGTATAAAACTATTTGTTACTGGTAGAAAATTATTTTTTACGCGTATAAAACTAGTTGTTACGTGTAAAAATCTATTTGTTACACGTAAAAAATAGAATAGTTTTAGTACCTATCTAAATTATGGATTTAGATAGTAAATCATTTTTTTTTATTAATAGAAATAGTTTTTGACGCGTAAAAAAATAGTTTTTTACGTGTAACAAATAGTTTTATACACGTAAAAATATTTTTTTTGGCGTAAAAAGTTTTTTTACCAGAAACAATAAGTTTTTGACGCGAAAAAAAAATAGTTTTTTACGAGTAACAAATAGTTTTTTACACGTAATTTTTTTTTCGCGTAAAAAATGTTTTTTAACAGAAACAATAAGTTTTTGACGCGTAAAAAAATAGTTTTTTACGTGTAACAAATAGTTTTTTACACGTAAAAAATATTTTTTTTTGGCGTAAAAAAGTTTTTTTACCAGAAACAATAAGTTTTTGACGCGAAAAAAAATAGTTTTTTACGAGTAACAAATAGTTTTTACACGTAATTTTTTTTTCGCGTAAAAAATGTTTTTTAACAGAAACAATAAGTTTTTGACGCGTAAAAAAATAGTTTTTTACGTGTCACAAATAGTTTTTTACACGTAAAAAATATTTCTTTTTTGGCGTAAAAAAGTTTTTTTACCAGAACCAATAAGTTTTTGCCGCGAAAAAAAATAGTTTTTTACGAGTAACAAATAGTTTTTTACACGTAATTTTTTTTTCGCGTAAAAATATTTTTTAACAGAAACAATAAGTTTTTGACGCGTAAAAAAATTGTTTTTTACGTGTAACAAATAGTTTTTTACACGTAAAAAATATTTTTTTTGGCGTACAAAAGTTTTTTTACCAGAACCAATAAGTTTTTGCCGCGAAAAAAAATAGTTTTTTACGAGTAACAAATAGTTTTTTACACGTAATTTTTTTTTTCGCGTAAAAATGTTTTTTACCAGAAACAATTTTTTGACGCGTAAAAAAATAGTTTTTTACGTGTAACAAATAGTTTTTTACACGTAAAAAATATTTTTTTTTGCGTAAAAAGTTTTTTACCAGAAACAATAAGTTTTTGACACGTAAAAAAATAGTTGTTCTACGTGTAACAAATAGTTTTTTACACGTAATAAATAGTTTTATACTCGTAAAAGGTTTTTTTACCAGAAACAATAAGTTTTTGACGCGTAATAAAATAGTTTTTTACGTGTAACAAATATATTTTTACACGTTACAACTAGTTTTATATGCATAAAAAATAATTTTCTACCAGTAACAAATAGTTTTATACGCCTAAAAAATAGTTTTTTTACGTATAACAATTTTATTCGCGTAAAATAATATAAATAGTTTTTTACCTGTTACAAATGGTTTTTACACGTAATAAATAATTTGATTCACTTTTACAAAATTTTTATTAAAATATCAATATTTTTGATAAACACGTGGACTGCTCACAAATACACGTCGCGTCACTACGTATTTCTAAGCCGTTAACAGGTTTCGTTACAACTAACTCCTGTGTCAGAGCCGTCTCACTAGCTCGTATGTCACGGCCTTGAACTTTTACTCGCAGCGCGCGTAAAGAAGTTTCACTCCAAAATGTTTCATAAATCATGTCCTAAAATTGCATTAACAACTAGAAATATTTATATACTATTCTATTATATAATTATAATTATTTATTATATTATACTATAATTATAACAAGTACTAACCACAACACTACAACATAAAAAACTATACACATATAAACTAAAATTCCTAAAATAAATGGCAAATAATAATTATTATTTTTACGCATACCACTGGCACTAGCAGTAGATTGTGTTTGTCTCCGAATATATTCCCCGGCCCGTCCACAATTCAATCTCAGCATCTTTTATCTTCGTCTCTTCAACGCTAGCGGCGCCGATCTCGCCTATCTCTTTCTCACAGGATTGATTGTTGGACGGGCCTAAATGACATCTTGATAGAAATTGCAGACCTGCTTCAGCGTGAAGCGTCTTTAGCGACTAAAACAAAATAACGGGATTATATAGGAGTGGCCGCACCAAAAGCGTGTAGCGTTCGGCGTGTCTCGCAAAAAACGCAAATGAAAACAAATCAGTTTATTTTCTGTAGCGTCTTTAGCGTTTTCAAAGATGAGACCCCGTCATTGGCGCGGACGTTATATTTAATAATACAATAAAAATAAATTAAATAGTATGCATTTTTTTTCATTTTAGGGCATTATCTTAAAATATTTTTATAAAGAACATCTACTGTTTAGGAAGATTCAATTAAATTCAAAAATTTGAAGGAAATGTTTGAAAAAGTGTAGTTTGAAATGTTGAAAAAGTAATAAATTAAAGGAATACTTTCTTACGCATAAAAAATAGTTTTTATGTGTAAAAAGTGTTTTTTTCTGCGTAAAAAATAGTTTTTTAAGTGTAACAAATAATTTTTTACACGTAAAAAATATTTTTTTTGGGTAAAAGTTTTGAGTTTTTTACTAGAAACAATAAGTTTTTTACGTGTAACAAATTGATTTTTACACGTAACAAATAGTTGTATACGCGTAAAAAATAGTTTTCTACCCGTAACCAATATAGTTTTCTACCAGTTACAAATAGTTTCATACGCGTAAAAAATAGTTTTTTACGTGTAACAGTTTTATTCGCGTAAAATAATAAAAATAGTCTTTTACGTGTAACAAATGTTTTTTTACACATAATAATTTGATTCGCTTTTGCAAAATTTGTATTAAAATATCAATATTTTTGATAAACACGTGGACTGCTCACAAATACACGTCGCGTCACTACGTATTTTTAAGACGTTAACACGTTTCGTTACAACGAGCTCGTGTGTCAGAGCCGTCTCACTAGCTCGTATGTCACGGCCTTGAATTTTTACCCCCAGCGCGCGTAAAGAAGTTCCTCCAAAATGTTTCGTAAATCATGTCCTAAAATTGCATTAGCAACTAGAAATATTTACTATTCTATTATATAATTATAATTATTTATTATATACAGGGTGTTTCAAAACAAATGCGAAAAACTTCAGGGGGTAATTCCTTGTTCAAAATAAAGGGTAGTTTGCTTCATAAACGTTGGGTCAAAAGTCAATCACTAGGGAGATATCGCAGGCCAAAGATGATGGAAAATAATGCTTTATTTTTATCTTGAAACGAAAAAGAGATAGATTAATGAAATTTTATGGAAGCATTACTCGTTATGAAAAACACCTTTCTGGTAATTTTTTCACTTTTTAAATGACTGGAAGGGGTTGAAATAAACTACCATACCCCTATCATTCTTGCTAACGAAATTTAAAGAAAAATCTTATCAAAACACATGCAAAAATTAATTTGATAGTTTAGTTTGTTTAGAAACTTTTTTATCTCTTGTGTTTTTTAATAAAACTCACCGATTTGAAATTAAAAATAAAATGTAAAGCATTACATGTCAGGACACAAAACATTTTTAGATTAAGAATCAGTGATAATAACGATAAAAATAATCATCTAGATAATAACCTATTGCAGTAAAGTAATGTCAAATAAAATAATATATTTTTTTGTTTCTGTTTAAAAAAAAAAAAAAAAACATATTTTTTGTTTTCAATTCCTTGGTTTTGTAGGTCGTTGGGGTTGTAAAGATGTTTCTAGATTTTGTTCATTATTTTTTTATTTTAGACGCACTGCTACTGACAGTATATGTCCTTTTCAAGCCTCTTGAACGTAGATTCTTACAGAGTTAAAATTTGTTAAACTGGACAACACAATAACACATATTAACTATTGTTTTTAATTGTTTTTGGACATTACACTTTACTACGAGCACGTACGTATTTCCTTGCAGATCGCTCTGTATAAAACACACTTATCGGTTCAATACCCGATGTCTACTCAGAGATCTACTGAGTAATGTCAAACGGTAAAATAGCAAAAAGCGCTTGAGACGCAAAAAACGCAAAACGCTAAAAACGCTTTCTGTGTGGCCGTGGGCTTATGCAATGTTCTGCTTCTCACAAAATAAAATACCACTTTTAGCACTTATATCATAAATAACTATTAGAGGGTTACAAGACTGTAATATTTAAATATTCTTTTATTAGATTGAAAGAAACTGATAAAAAAGTCTATAAATGTGCCATATGTGGCTTTCAAACGCTACTGAAGGCAAGTCATTACCGTCACAAGAAAACTCATTTGGCACCGGAAGAACGAGAGTTATTTGCTTGTATACACTGTGACAAGAAATATATATCGAAACAAGGCTTACGTTATCACATTGAGGAGAATCATATTGATTCCAGGTAAATTTATTTTTTGTAATACATTGACTGTACAGGGTGCTACAAATTCGAGGTACGAGCATTGGTATCTCGGTAACCGTAATAGATACAAACATGGTTAAATTGGGGCAAAGTTAGGCTTTGGGATGTTCACCAAGACGCCATCAAAAAAGTGTTAAAAATTTCAAGGATCGCTGAGTTTTTTTGGAAAAAACGGATTTTTTCGAAAATTAATTCTTATTTTTTCCTGTCGTTACTTTTAAGAAAATCAAAAACCACTGTACATTCTCATAGCCACTTTTATTAGGGCTATCTGATAGTATTTTTAGATTTTCAAATTAGCTGATAATTTTGTGTGATACAGAGGCCAACTTAATTTTTTTAAATACGGACATGAATTTTTTATTTCAGATTTCGAAATAACTCGGTCTCCTGAGTACAATGATATGCCACACTTAATATTTTTTTTGTTTCGGACATTTGAACATAATTTATTTAAACTAATTTTAAGTCCGGCTCTGTTTTCTTTTAAATACTTAATCTATTCATTGTTACAATAATATAAACAATCAAATAATTTTCCTGGAAAATGGATTGGAAATGGTAGAGCAGTATAATGTCCAGCGAGGTTCCTGGACCTAACGCCAATGCGCCAAGGGGCTACAATACTGGACGTCATTTGTAAAGGTGAAATCAATTTATCTCAACATTTACAATAAAGAGTACAAAATACATTCGGAAGTATAAGAAGAAAGTTCAAACATCTACAGGGTTGTTCACCACATACGACACGGAGTATTGTAGCTAAACGATGAGATTTTTACAAATTGTAAGTTTGGGGTTCGTTGAAGGACTATTAGAGCTACAATTTAAAATATTTTTACAAGATACAGACTGTCCTAAACCCAAATAAATAAAAAAATATCAAAAGTTGTATTTTTGAAATGGAACACCTGTATGTATATTATTACATTTTTAGTTTCCTACGATTATAAAGGAAGGTGGGGTAAATTTGATTGGTTTATTATACTTAAACCTTACCGTTTTGAAATATTTTCAATTTTGTGAAATTGGTAGTAAAAATTTTAAAGCTTCATTTCTCCAAGGGTATCAAATGTTTTAATACTCAAATATTTAATGAAGTTTATTTATTGATCAGTTATTGTGTTGCAATAATAAAAAATAATACTACCTGATACAGAGTGTCTAAAATTTATTTTAAATAATTATTAGCTTCCAAACGGCAATAATAACTTTAATTTAAAATGAATGCCCTGTATATTTTAGGAGAATCAGATGCAATAATTAAATTGACTATCAAATTGTATTATACCATTTTTTTACCTATCCCTTCAAGTTTCGTAGAAAATGCATTTTCTTATAATTTAGGACTCATTTATCAATAATATATTCATGGAATATTTGACATTTTAGATTGTTTTTTAAAGCAACCTTGAATAAGAAGACTAAGGAAGGAGCATAATGCTATCCATGTATTCATGGTGGGCGGAAAAGCTACCATAAAAGCTCTCTAGGGTGGGATCCTTGACAGTTCTGTTTAACGATTCATTTGACACATTTGAATTTTGATTTGAAATATTGTGGATTTGTCAGTCTCTACGTGGAGCTTATTTTATGTTATTTATTATTTATCTCTACTACTGATAGTTGTATAAAGGTAGTAAATCTAGATGGAAATTGTGGTAGAACTTAAATTAATAGTGACACTACCAAGTGATTTATCGAAAAGACACCTAAAATAGTTGGTTGTGTAGCGTGTGGTAGATCTCGGCAAAAAAAATTGGAGGAAATAATGTGGAAACAACTTTTCTGCTAGTAAGTGACTATAAATATACTTATGTGTAGTAAACCGATCATTTAAGGAAATTCAATTCTCTAAATTCTTTAACTAAATTATATATTTTTCTCTTCCATTTTAGCTTCTATTTATTACTTGGTCAAAGATTAGATGTCAAAGAATTTAGATAATGTTAATTTTGACTTACCTGCTTTAGTAGCGTATCCGATGTTTGTTAATAAATACTTATTATAATAAAAACTTAAAAAAACTTTTTATTAGAATTATATATTTTATAACAATTTTAATAACCACCAACATTTATTCACAAACGTAAATAAAAACAACAAATTCATTGAGTCTACCCCACGTCTACCCTACATCATAGTTTTACATTTTTTAAATAAAATTAGAACGACACTGATAAACCAGAATTTAAGTCGGCCATATTTGAGGCCCATCGCGGTGTACCTAAGATTTTTGATATGCTCCTTCCTTAGTCTTCTTATTCAAAGAAAGCAACAAATGTACAAAATGTACAGACTAGTAATATTATCGTTTTTAGCAAAACGATAATATTACTAGCCCATTTGTATGCTAAAAGAAAACTATTTAAATCTTTATAAAAGAGTATACCATTAATTAAAATATAACACCATTATTTCCGCCCATATACCACTAATTACATAATTTAATTGTGTTTGTTAATAAATTATTACAAACAAATGTGGATTTGAGTCAGAAATCAATAATAAGTTATCAAATTGTCTCTTGTTGTTATAAATAAGCATTTATTAAAAAAAATGAAATATCACTTTTAAGGTGTTACTTTATACCACACTGTCTACCCATACAAAATCTAGTTTCTTTTTAGTATTTGGAGCAATTATTATCAATGTCAATCAACGCAAACAGTCAGTTAATGTAGTTTTGAATACTGGAATCATATTAATTGGTCCCCTTTAATAAAATATTTAAACAGTTTTTTTTATTTTTAATGAAATAAAACGAATTATATCGACAATATTAGTATCTGTTCTTTTAAAAAAATTTGGTACACATCTCTTTAAAAATAATCTAAAATGTCAATAGTCCATGGGTGCATTGGATGTAGAATGTAGAAAGTGCTTCTAGAAGGGGAGTTAATCAAGGACCTTACAGATCTATTGTGTGTTCCTTTCTTCTTGAGTTACAACGAGTTATAACTCATCATACAGTCTCAGGGCTTTAAGAAAAGCCTTGGGTATATTGATAAATAAGTTCTAAATTATACAAAATGCATTTCTATGGAAACTTAAAGAAATAAAAAAAAATGGTATAATATAATTTGATAGACAAAAAAATTGTGCATCTGATTTCGTAAAATATACAGGGTGTTCCATTTAAATTAAACAAGCATTGCTGTTTGAAGCTAATAATTATTTAAAATAAATTTTTAGACACCTTGTATAGTACTATTTTTATTATTGCAACACAATAACTGGATCAGTAAATAAACTTCAGTAAATATTTAGTATTAAAACTTTGATACCCATGGAGAAATGAAGCCTTAAAATTCTACTGCAATTTCACAAAATTGGAAAATATTTCAAAAACGGTAAGGTTTAAGTATAATAAATCTTAATCAAATTCTAATTCTTTTATTTCAATCGTAGAAACTAAAATGGCCAATATACAGGAAGTTCCATTTAAAAAAATACAACTTTGATATTTTTACTCTATTTGGGACACTCTGTATCTTGTAAAATTATTTTTAAATTGTACCTCTAATAGTCCTTCATCGAACCCAAAACTTACAATTTGTAAAAATCTCATCGTTTAGCTACAATACTCCGTGTCGTATGTGGTGAACAACTCTGTATAAATAAAATTGAACAAAAAATAAATTTATTCAATAGGGAGGGTGGTAACCCTTTCGAACATGTATAACATTAAAAACTAGTGTGTAGAAGTTGATTTATTTATAATAACTACGATTAATATTATGCCATATTATTAGATCACCACACTGAAATTTCAAATTCACAATAAAAAAACTTAAAAATAATATATTTAAATTTCTGACCTGGATATATAACACATCACTAGTAGATAATGAATGTTTTTGGGTATTGAATTAGATCGATTTTCACACCCTAAAATTGAAAATATATTTTACATTTTACCCATTATTTTATGTACGTATTCATTATTTGTATTTTGTAAAACATTTGCTGGCATTTGTATAGTTCATAGTTTATTTGCCAAAGTATTTATTACTATAAATAGGTATATATACTTATATACAGGGTGTCCCAGAAATAAGTATAAATATTTTAACTGGTAGTATAGTTCAACCCCAGAAACACGCCTATGAGGTTTTTTTTGCGAAAAAAAAATGTTGAAAATTTAAAATTTTTCTTGACATTTTCCGGGAAATTTAAAAAAACTTTTTAGTGCCACTTGTTTATTCACCTGAGATTTCCCTACGGTGTATCTAAACCAAAGACATTATAAAGATAGACCGAACATCTCATTCATAAATACTCGTTGGTAGTGTATCAAACATTCCAATGTGTCGAACAAGGACAGAAGAGACAGGGAAGTCTAAAATTTCCGACCCCGGCAACTAGGCGCATTTGGATTGTTCTAATAGCCAGCGTATCGTTTTGAACGAATTTAATTAGTAAAGTAAAAGTAAAGTAATTAGTAAAATGTTTACTCCATATTAATATACCACATTAACACTTTTTCGTCAGATGAGTTTCGTTATAAGGTCTAATATAATAATATAATTAATATCCCACATATACTTCTGTTGGAAACGTTGGTATAGTTTTCGAAAATCGTTCCAAAGTCGATTTTCAATTTAAACTTCTAAATTCTATATAAACTTTTAGTTACTTTTGAATATTTATAGGGTGACTGAGGCTTCCGAAACAGTTTTATATTAGGTTTGTGGTTGGTGACTTTTCTCTAAATTTTTTCAGAATATGGAGGCAATGGTAAAGAACATTTTAGACATTTTTGTAAACATAGGTGGTCGGAACATATTTTCAAACTAAAGTTGTAGATTTGCCATTAAATTTCCATTCCAGAAATATCTAGGGTTGCCATAATTGTCCTTTTGAAAAGGACAGTCCTTTTTAGAATAACTTGTCCTTTTGACTTTTTACTTAAAAAGTCATTTTTATTTACGTACTTTCCCTGAGAAAATTACCTACAGCAAACAGAAATATTATTT